ATCAACCAACCAATCAACCAACCAAGAATGCTTATCAAGGTAACCCCAGTTGGAAAAAAGTAACCCCTGTTGTTTTCATCTGAGGGTTAGTAAGCAAGTGGAATACCTCACTGTATTTTCAAAGAAAACTGCAGACAAGGAAAATACCAGGGGTTTCGAGTGCCTTCCAAACAATTTGAGATGTTTTATTTACACCATAAAGACAGATTTTCCCTGGAGTATTTCCTGTTCCAAAAACACTTAAGGACTGCTCTTTTGGGCTGCTTCTTTTGGGCTGCTTCTTGACATGGAAAAATTTAATGTCACTGCTTTACCTTTAGTTTGGGATTTTGCCTCTTCAGTCAACTGTCTGCTCTACTAGTTGCATCTAGCTGTTTCATCTTGCCTGATGTAACTGTCCAAACCACACTCAAACTCCCTCATTTCAACCTGCATTTTCTCTAAAAAATGCATTTACTGTAGAATATTTTTAAATGTTTTTCATTCCTATTTTGATTTTTCACTTTGCTAAATCCATCAGTAAATGTTTCTTAAGTGTTTGTTGTGTTTAGGCGTTGTGCCTATTGCAGCAGGAAAAACAAAATGGCATAAAAGCTTTCCTCAAGGAGCTTGTTGTCTAATTGAAGATTATTAAGCAAAGGGATGCTTCTCGTGTTTGACCTTTCCTTTCAATTCCTGTTACCCTCCTTGACTAGGCCCTGTTCACATCACAGTAGCCTCCTAAACTGTCCCCATGCTTGCTGCTGCTGCTGTGCGTATGTGTGTGTGTGTGTGTGTGTGTGTGTGTGCGCTCAGTTGTGTCCAGCTCTTTGCGATGCCAGGGACTGTAACCCACCAGGCTTCTCTGTCCATTGAATTTTCTAGGCAAGAATACTGGAGTGGGTTGCCATTTCCTACTCCAGGGAATCTTCCTGACCCAGGAATTGAACCCGTGTCTCTTGCACCTCTTGCATTGGCAGACAGATTCTTTACCACAGCTCTACCTGGGAAGCCCATGCTTGCTATTACCCCCAATTAAATTAACCCTAATTCATTTTCTTAAGAAATTTTATTATAGTTATTCTCCCACCATCTTACCCTCTCTTTCTTCCCCCGCAAAAATTTCAAAGATACTATACTATATTTTTTGATAAGGTTCAATCTCACTAAAGTAAGGTTCAATCTCATTATCTTGGCTCAAAATTTCCCCATTCTCACTTTTTAAATCTGAGTCCTATCCATTTTCAAGTCCTGGTTCATTCAGGTATCTTTTTTCAATTCCCCACTGAGACTGATCTTTCCCTTCAGTTTCTGTACATTATAGCCTACATCACTCATTGACATTTCACTTATATTACCTTGATATGTTTTATGTTTAGGTGGTTTTTTCCCATAAAATTGGCCAAGGAGCCAAAAAACTGAAGCCCTTATCACCCTTTTGGATTGTACATTTATTGAGGGCAGGTCCTGAGCATAGTGCATTGCACACAAGAGATGATTGACGGTTGATGATAAAGATGGTGATGGTTTTTCCTGATTTCAGGGGATAGGATGGATTATGAAAGATAGCAAAGTAAAGATTCTGCAGGTAGGGAGATGAATTAATGAGGCTTTTATAATAATATTCAGAAAAAGGTGATGAGGGCTTCAATTTATTGTTTCCTTGGCTCAGAGCCTCATTGTATTACCAGAAGGATTTTAGTGAGACTGAAAAGAAGGGAGGGGAGGACTTTGGGACTGCTGTGATTTTATGTGGGAATGAGGAAGAACTAGGTAACTGAACTGGAACAAGTACAATAATGATAGCATTAACTTGAAAGAGGAAATCAGAGATGGAAGCTGGATTTAGAGGGAAGATGGTGAGTTTGTTTTTAGACATACTGAGTTATGATAACTTGAGTAACTAAGTGAACATGTCTGACAAGCAGTAAGATACTGCTCTACATTCAATTCAATGCAACAAATATTTACTGAACACCAACCATATGCCAGTCGCTATGCTGGAGATATAGTCAAATAATACACAGTCCCTGGCCTCCAGAGCTCATGTTTGCTCAGGGAAGTCAAATTAATAAATTCCTATAAGGTAGTAAATGATATGATAGAATTATATATAAAGTGTTGTGCGTGCATGCTCAGCTGCTTCAATCGTGTCTGCCTCTTTGCAGCCCTATGGACTGTAGCCCACCAGACTCCTCTGTCCATGGGGATTCAGAATGCTGGAGTGGGTTGCCATGCCCTCCAAGGGATTTTCCCGACCTAGGAATTGAACCTGCGTCTCTTGCCTCTCCTGCATTGCAGGCCAATTCTTTACTGCTGAGCCACCAGGGAAGCTGATATAAAGTGCTATGGGAATATAAATAGGGAATCAGTTGTATCCAAGCAGGTGGGAAAAAGTTTCAGAAGTGACAATCTTTGACCTGGGTTTGGGACGATAAGTAGAACTTTGTTCAACAAATAAATAGTGAAATCACTTTCTAAGTGAAAGTATAGTCTTGAGCAAAGGCACAGGACATGGATGTACATGGCCTTCTGGGGGAACATAGTCTGAAAACGCTAAAGAGAATGCAATGACAAAATAAAGATGGATAGTACAGAAGAGGTAACGATTGTCAGGAGCTGAAGACAGGATTCTGCTACACTAGACTGGAGAGACAGTTTAGTGTGATAGTTAAAGTTGTGAACTCTCAGAGGTGGATGCTCTGGGCTCAGATTCCATCTCTGCCACTTACTAGGGCTGGGGCCTTGAGCAAGTCAGTTTCTCTGTGCTCAGGTTTCCTTATCTGTAAAATGGGGCTAATGGTACCTCCTTTATAGGGTTGTTTTTTTTTTCAAGTGAAGCTAGAATTGGTTTTATTAAAAGTAATCAAAATAGTCCCAAATAATATGAAAGTGAAAGTTGCCCAGTTGTGTCCAACTCCTTGCAACCCCATGGACTATAACCTGCCAGGCTCCTCTGTCTATGGAATTCTCCAGGCCACAATACTGGAGTGGGTAGCTGTTACCTTCCCCAGGAGATCTTCCCAACCCAGGAATCAAACCCAGGTCTCCCGCACTGTAGGTGGATTCTTTACCAACTGAGTCACCAGGGAAACCCCAAACTTCAGGACATGACTGAGTGACTTTCATTTTCACTTTCAAATAATATGGCATCCATTTAAATAGATCCTTTTAAAGAGATGAAGCACTATCATAGAAAGCTTCTGCTGGTACTTTAATTAAAAGATCCATAGGGTTGTTTTGATGTTTGAGAGAGCTAGTATATAAACTATTCAGGACAGTGCCTGGCATATAGTGAGTTACTCCAAGGTTACTCCAAGGACTGAAATATAAGAAATAAGGCACCACACCACTGTTTACTGTACCATCAACAGCTATAAATAGGAACTGTCTTATGTCTCCAAATAGTCTCTGCACAGATCCAGGGAGCACTAGATGAATCTCTGATTCCCACATGAGTGGGAATTCTTTGAGAGGGTGATATTATCTGCCTTGGAAAGGAAGATCCAATTTAGGAAGGGGTGAGCAGTCTGAGAAAACACATTAGGATGGCCAGAGTGGGACCATTCATTCAGAATAAATGGAAGCTCTCACTGTGGCACTTCCCCTCTGGCAAGTGAAAATAAACCAAAAGAAGGTTGAAATTCGGCATGCATATTTTATTTCAGTTTAGTAGGAAATAGAAAATTGACCAGTAGGGACCTTAGAGGGTGAGAGAGGAGACAGTGGGGCCTAGTGACAGGTATCTTGCTGGGCTTGGAGTACATAAAGCAGCCCTCTAAAGAGGGCTAGCAGGTGAAAATGCAGCCCTACTTTGCTAATGAAGCACATCTGACGACTTCGGTTTTACTGCTCAAGAAATCCATTGTCTATGTCTCAGCTTTTTAGAGCTCTACTCGAATGATCCTTGAATAGACTCTTGGAATGATTGTGCTTCCCTCTGTGACTGCTGCTGAAATGAAACTGAACCTTATCTGCCCACCTTGCCAGCCCAGGAGTTTCCCTTGACACATCTTGTTTGAATTCTGTTCTCACCACGTCCCAGCTGGGCAGTCTCGAGCAAGTCACTGAAATTCTCTTAGTCTCAGTTTTCCCATTTGTGAAATGGAAATAAAAATAGCTCCTATATTATAAAGTGGTTATGATAATTATATGAAATAATTTATCTATAAAGTACTGGATACATTGAGTGCTTAAAAGACATAAGTTTCATTCCCCTTTCTTTCCCTTTACATTTAGGCAGCTCAAAGATCCTCTGTGCTCATTTTAGCCCAGCTAGGGACTTCATATCATCTAATGCCTATAGTAGTAGAGATGGGCAGAAGGAGAAGGCAGGACGTGGGAAGACGATAAAGAATGGTGGCTGTTTTTTTCACCCTCCCACCCTGACTTTGCAGTAAGGATATTTTGATGTAGTTAGTATCCACAAGTAGGAAAGATATTCAGATACTGGACAACCCAAAGTAAGAGATATCTATTAAGACATGATGACATTGTGTGAAAATACATCTACACAATCATATACTTATATGAAGATAGAGCTAAACATTCATATGTTTTAAAATTAGAAAGGAACAAGGAAAACTGAAAACATTTTTGTTAGGATGGTAGAAATATGTTGTTGTAAGGTTAACCTTAGTATTCTTGTACCTATGGAGAGGATCCTCTTTCCCTGATATACTTAAATCTTCATACCCTCTTTCCAAAAGAACAACAGGAGAACAGGGTGCTAGATTAAAGGAAATTGCACAGTGGAAATAATATGCCCCCATCTCATCTGTCCTTCTGCCCAGCCTTCCATTAACCATCATGATCTACCAGAGGCCAGAGACCTTCCTGTCTGTGGTGCTTCAATGCCCTTGCATCATTAATATCATCATATCTACCCTTCTTCTAGGAGTGGATCTTATGAGGGAGGTATGGAAGAAGTTGTGCATGCTTAGTTGTAAGTCCAAACCTTTGAGAACCTGCAGGGGACAAGGACAGAAATCACTATGTAACACTTTGGACTTTCTTGGCAGGTGAATACCGCTATGCATGAGGCAAAACTTATGGAAGAATGTGACGAATTGGTAGAGATCATCCAGCAGAGGAAGCAAATGATTGCTGTCAAAATCAAAGAGACAAAGGTAAAACAGAGCACTTCAGTGAGACCAAGGCCAAGTTGACTTTATAGAAGTCCAAGTTTCATTCCAATGATTCCAGTTTAAACTTGGATCATGAAAACAAGAAGATATGGGAATTTAGGGAGAGAGACAAAGAATAAGCAATCTTTGGCCTATGGCTCTGAATTCAGAAAAGATGATGGCAGTTTTGCAGTGTTGGAAACATTTCATATTGTGACTTGGTTGGTAGTCACATGGGTATATGTATATGCAAATATCATTGAGTTGTACACTTCAGTTTTGGTGCTTTACTCTATGTATGGTCTAAGTCAACACAGAAAGAACTGTGGACCAGAATTATGGAAAGATCATGGTTGCCATTGTAAGGACTTAGGGTTTAATCTGAAAGGCATAAGGAAACCATTCTGTTCAGTTTCTTATGATGGGAAAATACTGATAAATATAGCAGAAGTATGCAGGGTAGATCAGAATGGAATGGTACTAAAGTCAGGGAAGCAAGTTATGAGGCTTATTGAATGATTCTTGGTATAAGTTGATGAAGGCCTAACCCAGGAAAGTGGCAGCACAAATGGAAGGGAAGAACATAACAGGCATCGCTAGAAAGGAAATGACGAGAATCATCAACCAATTATATATATATATATAAAGGATGAATGAAGGCTAGAGAGAGAGAAGACTTCCAGGCTTTTAACATGGGAACTGAAGAATCATGATCAGGAAGGTCAGGTGTGGGCCTTCATGCAGCTATCTGATTTTATGCTTGTTGGTCTGCTGGTTAGTATAGTGATGATGAGCTCATGCTATGTGTACAATGTGAGAAGCTCTGAGAACCTGGAGTGATAACCATTACTTTGTGCCATGCTGGGTGGTTCCTTACTAACACAGATATTGAAGTTTCTGAGAACACAGATCTGTGAGCACACAGGTACGCATGAATGCCTAGAGAGAGAAATATATACATATGAATGTGGATACTCATAATGAAAAAGGAGGCGTTTTTTATTAAGCATATACATGACAATATATTGACAATAAAATGTCAACAGGTGATCTCCAGGTGGTAGGGTTTCTTTTTATACTTTTTATTTTCTAAATTTTCTATAATGACCATGCATTGCTTTTATAATCAAAATAATTAATATGATCAATAAAAGAGGAGGTAGGTAACCTAGAGTGTATGACTGAGTGTGTTGCAGGGTAAGTAAGCGGGTGCAGGGAGGAGTTGGCAAAATAGACATGGAGGGTGGGGGAGAAGGCGAGTGGTTAGTTCAGGGACCATGGGATGTTCATAGGTCTTATTTTTAGAATCACTGTAGCAGATCTCCTTTATGTTGTTTTATCATCTTTAATTAAGCACTGGATGTGTTTATCTTGTTTCTCTTTTGCTAATTCTTTAAGGTTATGAAACTAAGAAAGTTGGCACAGCAGGTTGCTAATTGCCGCCAGTGTCTTGAACGGTCAACAGTCCTCATCAACCAAGCCGAGCATATCCTGAAAGAAAATGACCAGGCACGGTTTCTCCAGTCTGCCAAAAATATCGCTGAGAGGTGAGTTCCTTATGGTCTTTCAACATGCCTCCTCTTAGGAAAAGGGAGCAGCTTAAAGTCACTTAATTCAGTTCAGACATGTTTGTAGCCACCGCCACCTGAAGATTTTGCCAGCTGGCTACTTACTAAGCCTCAGTGTGGTAGGTAGCCCTGTGGATTTCTGGCACCCCTTTCTCTGTCTCTGCCACCTCCCAGTTCTTCTTCTTTTTTTTAAATGTTGAAGAATTCCAGTTTTATTCTGTTTTTTTCTAAAGTGATTTTTAAAAAACTTTTTATTTTGTATTGGAGTATAGCCAGTTAACAGTGTTGTGATAGTTTCAGGTGAACATCAAAGTGACTCAGCCATACATATACATGTATCCATTCTCCCCCAAACTTCCCCCCTCCATTCAGACTGCCACATAACATTGAGCAAAGTTCCCTGTGCTATACAGTATGTTCCCAGTTCTTCTAATACACAGCCAACCATGCACCCTAGCGATGCCATAGCTCTATGCTACCTACTCAGGCCTGGAGCCTTCTATGTTGGTGTTGGTTTAGGGGCAGAGAAACTTTTGGCCACATACGTAGATGCATGCCCTACCTAAGTCTAGACCGTAGCACTAGACTCCCTGTGTTTGAATCTTGCCTCTGACCCTAAACTAGTTGGTTGGTCGTTGGGGAGTCACACAATCTCTCTGAGTCTCATTCTCATTCTCCTATTTGCAATAATAATAGTGCCTATCTCATAAAGTTTTTGTGAGGGTAAAATGAGTTAATATTTATTTATAAAGGTTTAGAATAATTCCCAGCATGTGGACTTTCCTGATGGTCCAGTGGTGAAGAATCTGCCTGCCAATGGAGGGGACATGGATTCAATCCCTGTTCCAGGAAGATTCTACATGCCTCAGGGCAACTGCTGAAGACTGAGCACCCTAGAGCCCATGCCCCACAACAAGAGCAGCGTTAGTCTCTCAGTCGTGTCCAACTGTTTGCGACCCCATGGACTGTAACCCTCCAGGCTCCTCTGTCCATGGGATTTTCCAGGTAAGAATACTGGAGTGGGTTGCCATTTCCTTCTCCAGGGTATCTTCCTGAACCAGGGATCAAACCAAGGTCTCCCGCATTGCAGGCCGACTCTATTGTCTGAGCCACTAGGGGGCTTCCACAAGAGAAGCCACCGCTATTGAGAGTAGCCCCTGCTCACCACAACTAGAGAAAGCCTGTATGTGGCAACAAAGATCCAGTGCAGCCAAAAATAATTAATTAAAAAATAATTCCCAGTAAAAAATAAATACTCAGTATTCTTATTATTGGAGAGCAGAAATTGCAGATGAGAGGAGATTGCCAATTCTTGCAGTATTACTATTAGCTATATTTGACTATTTAATTGGGGCTTCCCAAGTGGCTCAGTGGTAAAGAATCAGCCTGACAGTGTGAGAGATGCAGGAGATGTGGGTTTGATTCCTGAGTTGGGAAGATTCCCTGGAGGAGAAAATGGCAACCCACTCCAGTATTCTTGCCTGAAAAATCCCATGGACAGAGGAGCTTGGCAGGCTCCTCCATAGGGTCATAAGGCATCAGACATGACTGAGTGAGCACACATACACATTACCTTAATATAAATAACTTTTAAATATTTAAGAAGAATAAATTAGAAGTGAAGAAATTAAAATTATTTCAGGAAGTTTCCTGTAATGGGAAAGAGAAAAATATGGTAATAACCAGAATGAGTATGAGATAAAGGAAGGTTTTGAATACTTTTTTTTAGATAGCAGAGACATGAATGAGCTTAAAAGTGGATGTGAGGTCAGCTAGAGATGGGCAAAACTGAAGGTATGGAAAAAAGGTATGTGGCCAAGTAATGGATGTGGATGTTGGTATGCCCAGCAGTTTGGTATGATAAATTAAATAATTTATCATTTCATATCTACCCCTGTCTCTCTAAAATAGGAGGCAAAGTCATTTGCTGAGCATGAGCAGGAAGTTAGGGATCTCTAGCTTTTTGAACATATGGAATACAGTTATAATCATTGCTTTAATGTCTAATTCTAATATCTGGCTCAGTTTCAACTACTTACTTTTTTCTCCTCATTATGGTTTTATTTTCTTGCCTCTTTATGTGTCTGTGCTCAGTCTCTTGTGTCCTACTCTTTGTGACCCCATGGACTGTAGCCCACCAGGTTCCTCTGTCCATTGTATGGCTGGTTATTTTCTATTGGATGCTAAACATTGTGAATTTTATCTTATTGGATGCTGTATATTTTTGTATTCCTATAAATATTCCTAAACTTTGTTCTGGGACACAGTTAAATTACTTGAAAATAGCTTGTTCCTTTTAGGTCTTGCTTTGAAAATTTTTTAGGTGTGATCAAAGCAGTATTTAGACAGGGGAAGTTTTTCCCCACTACTGAGGCAAGACCCTTCTGAGTACTTTAACAAGCGCCCCATGAATCATGAGATTTTCTGGTCTGACCAGTGAGAACATACACTATTCCTGGGCCTGTGTAAGCATTAGTATTTGTCCCCTCTAATGTTTTTGGATGGCTCTTTCTCTGGCATTGGGCACTTGCCCCCACATGCATGTGTTGATCAGTATTTTGTTGAATACTAGAGGCAAAAACCCTTTCCAGTTCTCAGAATTCTCTCTGTGCATTACCCTCTCTAGTCATATGCCCTGAGAACTTCAACCAGCTTCAGTTCAGTTCATTTCAGTTCAGTCGCTCAGTTGTGTCCGACTCTTTGTGACCCCATGAATCGCAGCATGCCAGGCCTCCCTGTCCATCACCAACTCTCAGAGTTTACTCAAACTCATGTCCATCAAGTCGGTGATGCCATCCAGCCATCTCATCCTCTGTCGCCCCCTTCTCCTCCTGCCCCCAATCGCTCCTAGCATCAGGGTCTTTTCCAATGAGTCAACTCTTCGCATAAGGTAGCCAAAGTATTGGAGTTTCAGCTTCAGCATCAGTCCTTCCAATGAACACCCAGGACTGATCTCCTTTAGGATGTATTGGTTGAATCTCCTTGCAGTCCAAGGGACTCTCAAGAGTCTTCTCCAACACCACAGTTCAAAAGCATCAATTCTTCGGCGCTTAGCTTTCTTTGTAGTCCAGCTCTCACATCCATACATGACCACTGGAAAAACCATAGCCTTGAGTAGACAAACCTTTGTTGGCAAAGTAATCTCTCTGCTTTTTAATATGTTATCTAGGTTGGTCATAACTTTCCTTCCAAGGAATAAGCATCTTTTAATTTCATGGCTTCAGTAACCATCTGCAGTGATTTTAGAGCCCCCAAAAATAAAGTCTGACACTGTTTCCCCATCTATTTCCCATGAAGTGATGGGACCAGATGCCATGATCTTAGTTTTCTGAATGTTGAGCTTTAAGCCAACTTTTTCACTCTCCTCTTTCACTTTCATCAAGAGGCTTTTTAGTTCCTCTTCACTTTCTGCCATAAGGGTGGTATCATCTGCATATCTGAGGTTATTGATATTTCTCCCGGCAATCTTGATTCCAGCTTGTGCTTCTTCCAGCCCAGTGTTTCTCATGATGTACTCTGCGTATAAGTTAAATAAGCAGGGTGACAATATACAGCCTTGACGTACCCCTTTTCCTATTTAGAACCAGTCTGTTGGTCCATGTTCAGTTCTAACTGGACCAGCTTAGTCTCCTTGATTTCTCAGCTCTGTGTTCTTAATTAGGGACTCCATCAGATACCACCTGATTGCCCCTTCATGTACCATTTTATTCCCTTAATTTTGCTGGAACAAATTTTCCCTTAGCTTCCTAAGAGAGAGTACAAGGGAAATACATTTTTGAGAATTTATTGTTTAAAGAATATTTTAAATTTATTTTCTAAATTGAAAGATTGGAAAAAAATTTCCTTATAATTTTGAAAGCCATGGCACTATTGTCTCCTAGCTTCTCCTAGTGTTGAGAAGTCCACTAGTCTTTTGATTTCTGATCTTTTGAATGTGACATATATTTTAATATCTGAAGCTTTGAAAGTCTTATCTTTAAGCCACTTTTCCTGAAATTTCACCAATATATGTCTTGGTGTGAGTCTTTTATTATTCATTTCTGTTGGGCTCTAAGTGAGTCTTTCCAGTTTGAAGACTATTGACTTTTAGTTCTAGGAATTTGTGTTTTATTATTTGCTAATGGCTTCCCCCTCTTCTCCCTTTTCTCTTTCTGGGACTCTTATGAGCCAGATTTCGAACACCCTAGATTTTCCCTCTTATTTTAAGAAACCTTTTCTTCTACTGTTGCAGAAACCAGTAATTAAGAAACCAAGCACCACAGTTGAAGAGTTGGAGAATTCAGGTTTATTACACTGGTGGGCCCAGAGGAGTTAACACTCTAAGCTCTGAGCCCCGAACAAAGGGGTTCTAGAGTTTTAATAGACAGACTATAGTGGGCAACACTAGCTGCTAATAGGCTGCTTTAAACTAAGGGGTTTCGTGTGTGTGGGAACAGGAGTCAAGATGGGGAGAGGGATGCCTGACCTTTACACAGACAGGCATGATAAAGCAGGTTTGCAGGGGCAGGGCAATTGCAAAGAGCAGGACAAGGGTGAGTGAGGTAAGCTCCAGTTCCTAGTATTGTAAGTCCCCGCTTTCTGAGACTACGTGACCTTAGTGATCCAGACTTTGCAAGGAGCAAGCTGAGTTACAGAGGCAGAACAAGCAGGAGGTTATGTAAAATTTTAACTTTTCCTCTTCATTCTCCCCTCTCAATGCTTCTATCACTCGTTGTAGAAAGAATCATCTCATGTTTTAGTAAGACATTCAGAGCTCCCTATCATTTAGAGGACTATATTGAGCTTTTACCATTTGTAACATTATGGATTCAATCCGAGAGGTTATGAACTGGGTAATTGCACTGAGAATACAAGGGCCAAACAAGAGTGCCACAAAGAGCATGAAGAGAGGACCTGTTAAAGGGACAAGTCACGATAACCAGCTCATGACTGGGCATGGATGCCCAGATATTGTTTCAATCACCCCAGGAATTAGTTTC